GGGCGATGTAGATATGTCTGTAAAGCGACGAAACAATCTGTCGAGTGTCTACCCATGTCAAGTTTTTTTAATGTTGTTTAGTCTCATCTATAATCTTGCTGGGAAGTTCTGGACCTTCTGGCAAGTATCCGCATCATATTTTATGCTACGTTCATTCATGTTGCGATGACTGCACTTGGTTAGTTTATTGTTTAGGGGAGAATGAGTGATTGCATATCATATAGGGGATGAGGACATGTCTTGCCCACTCAGGGTATACATGCAGTCCGGCTTTTTGGGCTTAATCTTGTGGCCATGATTACAGAAGATCATAGATGCATCATTGCATCCACGAGTCTGTTTGTCCCGATTTGTTTGATCTGTAGATGCAGATTTGCACCGCGTGGGGAAGCCATCGCAGAACTGCCGCCGCAAGCGACAACCCTGACTTATCCCAAATTGCGTCTACGGGTTCTACTGTATAGAGGGTATGGATGTTCTTTCCTCGAGAGCAATTTGGGAATGTATCTAGCTCACAATCTGGTCAGGAGACATGCACTACATGAGTGTCAAATCTGTCCTTGCCTCTTTATGTGTGAGTCGGTGAAACTCCGACGAAACAGTCTGTCTGTCTGTCCGTCACAGCCCCTCGTTTGTTGTCCTCTCTTCTCCCTCTCTGCCTACAGTTTACCAGGCAGCTCGTTTGACGATATCTATATCTATATCTATATCTATATCTATATATGCCAGATACATACATATGGATTTCTAATTTTCTGTAACTTGTTCTTGTTTTTTGGTTTGTAGACAGTGTGTGTGTGGTTTTGTGGTTTTGTTGTTTCGATGTTTCGATGTTTCGACCGCCTGCCTTGTCTTTTGCTATCTTTCAGGGGAGATTTCTTTTGCCCCTCCTCTTTGAGGTTGTTTCGTTTTTTCAGAATTGAGATGGGTTTCTTTGTCACACACAATGTCGAATTCCAGGTGGAATTTTTTCGTTCTTTTCCTCCAAAGCCGGTTGAAGTCTTTTGCTCGGCAAAGAGGAGATGCAATGAGAGCCAACTGTTAGCTATTGCTGAAAGGAATGAGAGTCTGCTGTCACCCACTTGTTGGATGCAAGGAAGATGCAATGGACTACATGCACTGCATATGCATCTACTGGTTGCTATCTCAGCTGCCAGCCCAGCCAAGTGCCACACAAGCCTTTCAAGAAAGGCGCTTCATTGTTTAGACCGTTGTGTGTGTGTGTGTGTGTGAGAGAGAGAGAGAGAGAGAGAGAGAGAGAGAGAGAGAGAGAGAGAGAGAGAGAGAGAGAGAGAGAGGTCTTTGCCAAGCTTGTCTTCGACCGTCTTGATCTGGAAACACAGGCTTCTCTGCCTTTGTGGTAGACGTGGTTGTGTGGGGATCACTGGGGAAAGAGGATATGAGCTCTGTTGACTGCATTGACGGTGAGATGACGCTTGGAACTGTTGGTATCTAGATGGGCCTCACAAGCTCTTCAGGAATGTGCAATTGTGATTGGAGAAGGGAGTTCGGTTCATTGGCTGATGTTTTGTGAATGTTTGCAGCTGCGTGTGTATGATCGATTCTTCTCTTTGAGTGGTAGAGGAACGAGGAGTGTATGGCGATTTGGTTCCGATGTCTCCTCTCTTGATGTGTATAAGAGGTCTGCCTGGCAGTGGCCAACTGCAGCCAATTTCTGTGAAGTCTCTTTTTTTTTTTTTTTTTTTTTTTCAGAGATAAGACTTGGCTCCAGTGTAGTTGGAACAGCTTGAGTACCACTTAGTCTCAGGAGACTGTCCCAGTTTCTGAGGAGAACCAGGAAAGATGCAATCATGTGGCGGCGCGAAACCTGAAGTGGGAAGTACAGTGGGCCCTGCAATTTGGACCTCGTAACAAGGCGGAGACAGGGCAGCGAGGCTGGGAGAGGGAGGGAGAGTGAGAGCACACACACTCAACTCGACGCAGACTCGACGGAGACTCGACACGACTCGACGGACGCAGACACAAAGTGGCAAAGTCACAAAGTCGCAGTCTTGGATTCCTGACCACAATGTCGAAGCATAGTCACACTGAACACAAGCAATGAGGCTGAAAACTGGTTGCTTGTACTGGGCTTGAGTCCGGTCTTAAGCACTGGACTCAAGTTCAATCCTGAGGGCAGAAGTGCAAATTGCCTTGGGGCTGAACTGAAAATCGAAGGTGTGAGTCTGGGCGCCAGAATGCCGGATGGCGCCAAGTATCGAAATCCGAAAGTGCGAAAAGAGGAATTTGAGAACGGGCGCCAACTGCCGAGGGCGCCACAGTCAGGGGCCTGAGAACAGAGGCCCAAAAATGAAATAGCAGCCTGGCGGGTGGTAATCCGCTGACCAGGGATCGAGCCCTGCCTGAGTCCGTAACAGACCTGCAGTTGGACTTACAGTTCGGACCTGCAGTGGGACCTGCAATGGAACCTGCGGTGGACCTTGGTTTAGGGTTTAGGGTTTAGGGGTGATCAAATTGGCAGGGTGTGTGAGGAGACCACTGCAAAAGTCTGCATCTGGAGGTGGAACTGGGACTAGAGCTGCAGCACTCTTTGGGTCTGTGCTGCCATATGTTAAACAAACCAAGCCTCTTTTTGCTGCGGCGGCGGACTTGCACTGCGCTCCAAGCTTTTTGGCGAACTGCCATTTCGGTCCAGTAGCACGGTTCACCAGAAATCTGCGGATTAACTCAATTTCGATTCTCGAGTTTGCCTGAGAGATGTACTGGCTGTTTAAGACCGCTCTCGCGGTGCGGCTGTCCGGTTGGAGAAAGTTGAAGAGATGCGTGTTCTTTCTCTGCCTGATGGAGTCAGTGTTGAAGATCAGTGATCCCGCTCAGTTTTCTTTGGATGCTCTGCAGTGCAGCATTGTTTTTACTTCCGCTCAAGTAGGCTGAGGTCGATAATGTCTATACGTGGACCACCTCTGCAGGCGATTGATGATGTGCACAGTCCTGGTGCGCGGGGAGGGGCTGTGCAGACAAGCCTGCCTGTGCAAATGAAGTCAAACTGTGAAGGAGAATAAGGACCTTACTCCACTGGCGCTATGTTCGTGTTTGAAAGGCATGAACCTTTCCATAACGATGGCCAGATTCGGCTTTCTTGGAATGAACATGCCCACCGGTGAGCCCTGGCTGTAATAATGTATTTACTATTTTTAGTATTTTGCAAGTTTGGTTTGTCGTAACTTTGCAACTTAGAACCATCCAGAACATGGGGATCAGTCATGACCTGCATCTGGACATGGGCATGGACTAGGATCTCGACATGGACTTGGACATGGACATGGACTTGGTTCTGGACCTGATTTGCACTCAAGGTTTGGGCTGCATCGATGTGTATGTCCGATGTGGTCGTCCCCCTTGCACGGAGGATGGAAAGGGATGGAAAGAATTGTTTGAAAGGAGGGAGGAGGCAGGTTGGCCATTCTCACTCGTGATTGCCAGATGGCAGACTGTGAATCCTTTGGACAATTTGACGGGAACACTGTGGATGGATGACAGTGTTCAATCAAGTGGAGAGGAGGGGGTTGTATGCAG